GAAGAAAAAAAAATGTATAGATTGGTTAAAATTAATGAGGCTGCTAAGACTATTCAAAGTTTATGTATATATATATATATATATATATATATATATATATATATATATATATATATAGTGGGCGTTGATGATAAGAATGGATATAAGTAGTATATGTTGAGAGAGTGGCAGAAATCATAGGAAATTACCAGCAGTGCGCGAAGATTCTGCCAAGAGAAACCCAAGAAACAAAGCAGGCGTATGAAGAGCAGATTAAAAAGAAGTAGAAGAGGAAATGAAGCACATTTTGTAAATGACGGTTTTAATGCAAGGTGTACCATATTTAACGACTGCTGTCTCACGTGTCGACAACAAGCATTCCTTCCTTCATACCTGTCTATCAATATATATATATATATATATATATATATATATATATATACTCAGCTTTGCATTGTGGATGACTTGGCATGTGGTGTCGTCATATGGCTGTTGCCTGAGGTTGATATGTGTTTGTGGGACTAAAACGGTGGTGTTGAAGCAGCAACTGGGTAATTAGATTTTGGGTCGACTGTGTCGAAGTCGTTTTCAGAGTGGATGAATTTTAGGTGGTGAGTTGACTGGCATTCTATACTGTGTTCTATGATGATGCATAGTGTGGCGTTGCAGTTTGATTGGCACATGAATTGTTGTTGCCGAAGGTAGGCAGTTAACCAGGCTGTTCGGGTGGTAATTTTGAGTGGAGAGCATCTTTTACTCTCTCCAGGATGATGCATTTTAATATTTTGCTCGAAGACGGTTGCAATTTTCAGTGGTATCTGTGAGGAATTCTTTCTGTGTTTTTTGGGAATATTTGCACTCATTCAACTGTATCCATGTGAGTAATTTCGTTGTGGCTGGAACTCAAATTCTACACTCACCGCTGTTCGTTACAAGGTTATCTAGTTATGAGTCCGTCGAGATCCACTGCTTGTATTGTTTCCTCTTCCTTCCTAGTACGGTTATGCAGTTTTTTTCTACATCTCTTTCAAAGAGTTCCAGTGTTCTCCCACGCCTGATCCGTCAGGGATATTGCTAACTGCTTCCATTTTTTCCTGATGGTTGACCACGTGAAGATGTTCTTTGTATTTTTGTCCGTCACTTCAGCTTCCGTTCTATGTGTTCAGCTTGATCTGTGGTCCATCACCAACTTTTTTAAAGGCTTTTAACTTGATTTTGAATGTAGGTTGCTTGCACTAGATTGTGAATGTTGTGAACTACCTATATCTGCTCCCATTCTGTATCTGATCTTGTATGCAGTTTGCTGCATCTTCACTTTCTTCACATTCAGATGAAGATTCTTAGTTTATCCATCTGGTGAGGTCAAATCCATATCCCTTCGTGAATATCCTTGTGCTTGAACTCAGTGCCTCCAATCACCAACTAGTTGAATGCTCAGAATTCTGCAAACAGTACTCCATTCTCACTCATTTCACCAAGTGCTTCTCGACCCATGATCACTTCTCTTCCTGTGTTGTCTGCTCCCAGTTTGGCATTCATGTCACTCCCCCCCCCATCAGAATTCTGATGTTGCCAACTCGGGTGGGGTGTTGTTCAGTACTGATTGGAGCTATCTGTAGAATTCCTCCTTCTTCTCTTCATCTTCATGATTTGTAGGTGTATGGCATTACATTGTATGATTGTCACTTTCCTTCCTTTTGAGTTGAATCTTGCTGTCACGATCCTGATGCTGGAGGAGATTGGTTCTCACTGCATGAGAGCCTTCGATGTTCTTGGGAACATGATGATAGCCACTCCAAAACTCAGTGGGTTCGCAGTTAATAATAATAATAATTCACTTTATTCCAAACAATTTGTGGTACAATTTGAAATTCTCAGCGTCTTCTGAGTGACAATATGGGAGTAGATTATTGAATCTCCAGGCAACAGTTTGGAGAGTCCACTTCCATTCCATCTACTTTCTCAGATCCCAAGCACTTCCATGCCATACCTCCTCATCTCTTTTGCAATTTGGTCAGCCTTGTCAGTCAGCTTCGAACATTGTGCGGACATTCCATGTCCTGAATCTTACTTTCGGTTTCATCGAGAGGAGACTTATCGGCCGACTGGCTTCTCGAAATCTGTCACCAACCGGCATCATTTCATCTCTCGTGTTCCAGCGCTGAATGGGTTTGTTTTTATTTTTTCATAGTTTCTTTGTGCTTTTAAGTTTCTTTGGTGATCGGATTGATTTTCTGTGGTAGAGTTGCTAGCCGTATGCCCAACCTTCTCTCTTTATCCGGGATTAGAACTGGCTAGTAACTAGTGAACTAGTTAACCAGGGGAGTAGCCTTCAGTAGTCGAATTAATTTTATCGTTATCCGATCGCTTCTGAATTCTAGTAGTATAAATATTTGTCTTCCTTCTTGTTTAATGGCTGAACATTTATCAGAAGTTTCCCAATACACATGCGCCTACGTTTGAATGAATTTTTCTGAATATTTATTCTCATAAAGCCATTTTTCGCTATACCGAATTTTTCTTGCAGTTCGTCCGTTGAGCAGATGGAATAACTGATCATCACACTAGTTTAGAACTATCGCCCCAACTTTACATATAGCACCCCAACAGGAACCGATTTTATTGTAACTGTATACTTCTAGTTTGCCTACTGACGTCGAATGAACTATGAATTTTAAATGATGAATTGTACGAACCTTTGTCCGTCTCATGAATTGGTCAATAACAGTTATCAAATAGCGAGAAGAATTGGTAGATAGCACCAAATATATAAAACCGAAGTTAAATCCATTGTTTATTTCTCACCTAGTAGAGTAGTATGGTTCATAGATGAGTGAAGTAGATGCTTACCAACACTGCTGGTCCTTAATTTCCTAATATTCCCATTCATCGGACATATTTCATTTATTTAAATATACTTGATGCAGGTTAGTTAACACCAAAATGTATCGTTGGCTATTTCGTTAAAATATAGTTTATAATTAATGTCAGCTAGCCCATTATCGTAAGTCCCTTGGTATTGTTTTCCTTAGAGACATTATATGTTAATATAACACTAAATATATTCTAGTCGAAAAAAGATTTTTCTGTGCACTAGAGGTGTTGGTACTGGATCACTGGATCTACAAATAACTAAGGAGCCAAACATTTCAATTTTTTCACGTCTGTCCTACGGTTTCTTGATTTAATGAGAAGAATAGACGCTATTTTCGGGGAAGGAGAAAAGTGAGAATAATTAATATTTACTAAACTTATCTACACTTGTACTGGATGATGACTGAAGGCGAAATGGAAATTTGGACCATGGTGGGATTTGACCACGCAACCACCGGGTCGCCAGCCCAGTACTCTACCAGCTGAGTTACTAAGCCCAAAGGTTGATGAGGTTTTTATTCCACATCAATCACCATTTACATATGACAAGTGAATATGACTCCATGTGAAAGATTTTTGAGATAAATTGGACACAAAGATGATTATCATCCTGATTGCAGAGACGGAAACTTTAAAACTCAACTTAAAGATTTGTAACGCTTGCTGAACAAGAATCACACGAAGACTGGAGGATTATTTTGACTATTTCTACACATGAAAGTAAGATTACCGGATACCTAAAGTAAATCCAAGTTGAGTCTTCTTAATTTAAAGTAAAACGTACACCTGCTGGTATTATGGGTTTGAAACTGCTATAAAGAGAACTTTGTTTTCGAAAGTCCCCGCAGCAGTATCCAGATATCTGCACAGGAGTCCGTCTGCCAACAGAAGTCGAACAATATGGGTCTGTATATCAGCGGGAAATAGCAAGTGTCAATAAAACCACAACTAATACCCATTACATAAGAGGCAGTTATTGTGACCCAGTAGCCTATTGGAAGTTTCATATTCCTGGTTTAAGTTTTTGCGTTTCATAGTAATAAAATATATCACCTAACTCCTTCCATTCGCTTAGTAATGCTGTGAAATATTGTGGTTTGTCTCAGATGTCATATTCACAAAATTCACTGCACTAGTTACTACTTAATTCTTTCATTTGTTAGAATGAATACTGTAGTAAGGATTTTCTTACATTATTAGTTTAGGTGGTTCCATTTTAGTCTGTTTATTAGAAATTTCATACAGCGAAACACTATGATCTGCTATATAACCTTTCGGATATAAGAAGTATGCCTGACAAATACATAAACCATCACTGAAGGAAGTATAAAATTTATGGTGAGACTACAATTTCTCAGTTCTATGCAGTAAAATTTACAGGAACCTCGTAACTAGGAGCTAATCGTCAAAAATAACACACTGTGTGAGTTTTACTGTCAACAGTGATCGGCGGCGATAACTAAAGAGATTTATATTTGATTGCTTACAATCTGAAGATATATATATATATATATATATATATATATATATATATATATAAACCATACTTTTAAGCTGTAAATAGTTCAGTTATTATTCAGAGTGAGTTGTTCTCTGAGTTAGGGATTAAGTTGGCAAGTCTTCCAATGTCATGACAGACATCGGAATAAGTGTGTCTTAGATCCATAAGGAAATGGATTCGAAGCTGTGATGCTCTAACGAAGACAAAAGGCCTGCAAAATAAAACCCTAGCTCAGAGAACAACTCATCCTGAACCTTCACATACCGTTAACTACAAACATTTATCACACTTTTTGGCGTAGTTATTTCTAATTTTACGAAAACAACCTTTTTTCTCCATTACTCTACTTAGTATAACATAAATAAACAGTAAGTAGCTGATTAAGAATCAATCGAATACATTATTTGGATATTCTTTGCATAATACAGTGGTGATATATTGCCTCATTGCCACCAATTGTGAACACCATCAGATCTTACTGCTGATAGAATGTTGACAGAATTCAATGAAAAATAGGTTTCCGTAGTCTGTAAAATTGGAAGTACAGTTATGTTTATTTGCTAGTTATTATTAGAATATAAACAGTTTGGTTATACTAAGAGGACATTTGGCAAATTCAGTGTACTCATAATATATTTCTGCTTACCAGGACCAAAAGCTCGAACAAGCCCAGGATTGGATTTCGGTCTCAAAGGTGCACCATCCTTTAGTTTAGCACTTGGGAACTGACTTAAATAGGTCATCATAGCCTTTTCATCAACTCTAGGATTTGTCATCTCTTCTGGACGAATAAGTTGGGGTACATCTAACCACTGTTCTGCAGCTCCCATTGCTTCGCGAGCATTTCGAAGATTTTGTTTGGGTTCCCAGTCTCTCCAATCAGGGCAAAGACCTGGAGCGCATGCATCAACAAGAGCACCGATTGCAATTCCATCATTCCAATCAGTTGTGAAATTTTTAACTGGTCTGTCAGCTAGTTTGTTATTCAACCAAGCCATTAAGCGTTGTTTTGGGGTTGGTCCTTGAGCCTGTTATGTTCGAAATAGAAACCAAAAGGATCAGTAAACGGTAGTGAAAAATAATCACCAGATAAAAAAGATAACTTCCGGTTTAATTCCCTTCTACCAAAAAAAAGATCAATATATATGATGAAAAGAAACCATCACCATGGACATCCAGTGCAGGAAATAGTATCAAAAAATAAACACTGGATTATTGTGATCATTGTATGCTAACCGTGAAGTTATTTTCGGAGTAATTAAAGAAAAGTTTTGGTTCCAACGGTGGTACTGGTTTCATAATTCGTCGAAATCTCCTTCGGTTATGATCCTGAAGGTAAACAATTTGTTGAATAAATATTGAAAAAGATTTTTACTAATCAATTCGTTGTAAAAGCTGACAAATGTATACATATTCTGTCATGATTGATGGACATCAAGTGGGCAACAATCAGAAGAGACAATAGAAAGTGTTAGGCATCAAAATCAAATGAAGAATGAAATGATTCGTATTTACGACTGACAGTTGGGAATGATATGTTGTTTACCATTTAATTCAAAGAAATAGGTATAAAAATGTGTACACAAATTATCTAGTCATCATTGAAATCACTTTGTTCAGTTTTAAGTAGATAAGCTAAATATTTTGTCCGATTGCTAGATGCACTGAAGTTTGTGATGGTTTAACTAAGTCACCAGTAATAACATACACTGAAGCTAGGAGTCCAGGTTTCAGATTCTTAAGATAACTTGATTTCACTGTGGAAGATTTCATGCACACTTAATAACTAGGTCGGAATATACACTGACTTGCAGATTTCTTTCATCTCCTTCACTCTAAAAGGAGACATCAGTTCCCCTAACTAGCTTAAATAAAACAAGAATGGATAGGTTTGTAGAATACAATAGGCCCAATGTATTTTGTACAAACTAATAAAGTCACACTCTATCACTATACTTGAAAATTGGACAATGCTTTGGTCATGAATGATTGTCCTCTTGGATGCTTCTCCTGGCCACAACCAAGGAAATTGCCACAATTAACAATCAGGCGATATCAAAGCATCTACACAGGAGCCCATTTGCCAATAGAGGTTGAACAATTCGACCCAATAAAACAATGGAGAATTACGAGTACATCATAAATACTAATAAATAATAACCGTTGTACAAGAAGTGACTACCGTTCCTCCATGGCACAGTGGATAACGCCTTGATATTTGAAGCGACGGGTACGAGGTTCGAGCCTCTCTGAGAACCATGCCACTCAATGGAGTGCAGGGACATCCAGCTGACGAGTCCCATGTAGGACGGAACGTGCATCCTGAATCCTATCGTGACTGTCAAATCTGTTTGGAAAGCAGTTTTGTAAGACTGGTTAGACCAGGAGATTTTGATAAGGAGTTTTATGAATAATTCAAGATGCTTCTATACTGCATAGATATTAATTAAGTAAACTACTACAAATAATATTAAGGCAATACTTTGGCATCTGTATACGAGCCTATATAACAATTGAGGTTAAACAATTTGGTCCAGAAAAACAACGGAGAATTACAAGTACATCAGTAAATATTAATGAGTTTAATGTGTTGCTTAATTTGGTCGTCCTTCTCATTTAAATTAGCTATAAGATTCATAAATGTGACAAGATAAAGTAATTACTGAAAGTGTTTGATTATACTTCTAAAATGAAGCCTTCACTTAGCTGTAAAAACAGTCTGGACATTTGTGTTTTCTTGTTAATCTTCATGTTTTAATAAAGTCCATGACTTTGTCTGACCTTATTGGTTGCTTTTGAGTTAAATAACAACTTCTATTACTTTGATTTGTAAAACTTAATTACTTTAAAGTCCTGTAGATGGAAGCAATTGCTGAGTATCGTATATTTTCACTGGGATAAGTGATAACCACGAAGCAGTTCATTTTGGTACTAGTTTAGAACGTATTCAAACAAGTCCTAATTCAGTGTTTCTTGCTTAATGTCATTTTGACACCGTCAACCTGACGAGTATGAATCGGTCAACATTACCTTACAAAATTTACTTCAGTAATCAATTAGTCAGTATTCTCTTTCAAGTCACATCGATTTATACCAGAATACGACTACCTGGATGAGTAGTTAGTGCGCTGTAGAGTAATAAGTCTTCCTTTAACATGATATTTCTCAGAGTGATTGATCGATAGTAACACTGGTTTTCTGAAGTTTTGATTATAATTGGTAAGCTTAAATAGAATTTAGAAGGTAAGAAACTACGAAATACTTACTGTGACTATCAGAATGTAAACAATTAGATTTCAACAAAAGTGAACCAGACGTAAGCACATTTTATTTCTAGCACTGAAATCCACAAGCACTTTTATGATTTAGCCATAAGATCACTATAGGGTTCAGTTTTATCGGGTTTTCTTCTAGCGAAACTAAAAGATAAACCTCCACAAGTAATAATCAGCCAACTGATATTTTATTACCATTACATTGGTGACACTTTATAATCATCGAAACACGAAGTTTGTTAGAGTACAGCTGTTTTTCCTAAAGTTGAATATTACTCATTATTCATCATAAAAAGGTGAAGTGACAGAATCTCATAAATGTTTATCCAACTGCTGACTAGGTCAGATAAGATCTTTAAACCGAGCATATGCTAAAATTCACCATCGATAGACCAGTCAGTAGATTAACTTTTTATTGCTGTACCTTTTCGAAATATATGAAACTTGGTAAAGTGTCTGATGTATTTAGTGTAAGTCATTTGGTTTGAAGACATTATCATTCAAAGAGAGCTCAGCATTATCTGCAAGCTAACAATTAGGTATGAATGAGATGAAGGCTGTACATAGCCAGTCTTTTTGAGACTCGAATAGTTGTACAGAGAACAGTTACCGCCACAAACTTGTGTGCTATCTTCTCTATTCAATTGGTTCCAGGTCCGAAAAGTAGGGACAAACTACCTTATAAGTCAATGTCAGCTATTGTAATGATAATTTTAGGTGCAGGTACATCCAACTGACGAGTCTCAAACAGGACGAAACACGTATCCTAGATTCATCTGCCACGTACCAAGACTAATATAAATGGCAGCCCAACTGCTTCTGTGAGACCAGTTACTTAGGTCTTACAACCAGGCAGATCCATTACGGAACTTCTCACCATCTCTCATAATTGATGTATGAATACTGTTGGGAGCTAAGTACTTTCACATCTAGTTGACAACAGCCGTCAAATAGACACTAAAAAGACATTTGTATCTACTTGTTATATACCAACCAGTCTACTACGCGGACTACGCATCAATCCACTTCGCTCTACGGAAGAAATCACAATCCATCTTTATTGGTTTAATTTTAATCTTCAGAACAGATTGGTGCAAATAATTTTGTTGCTTAGCAGCCAGTATATTTTAACTTTTTACTGAGTAAACCAGAACATTAGAGGAGATTCTTCTCCCTGTTTAGCTGACATTCTTTTGTCGCCTTGTTCTTCCACAATACCTGTTAAAATCTGACCATTTAACAAAACACTTCACATTTTTTACCATTTGCTATGTGATATACCGAGTAATAAGGTTAGTCACATTAATTTCACTATTTTACCCCATATTACAAAAAGAATTCATTATTTTTAAGGTTTTTGTGCAATTGTCATTACTGACAAACTTTGAATTGGATATCCCGAAGTTCTAATGTGATATCGGGACCAGTGGGGTCAACCAGTCGGAAGTAAAATGGGTAATCATACTTTATCGCGAATCCGCAGAAGTTGGAAACTGTGGACCATTAAACGGCAACATGTTCACTGTGAAACTTGAAGGTGCTGAGTTCAATACCCAGGGAGCCACAGATGCGCACAACTGGGGAGTCCCATACTAGGACGAGACAGGTATCCAGTGACCTCAGCTTTTCAGTGGTTCCTTAAGTGTTGTCAGCCCGTGATGAATACAGTCTTAAAAACCTTCAGCAGTTATTAACCTCTTGCATAACTCACCTTTCGTAATCAAGGTAAACTGACATATGACCACTTGACCGATATTTAATAGTATTGTAAAACCTATATATTGGCACAGAACAAAATATGAGGTTAAAAGTAAAGATAAATATTTCTATTTTCAGTTGATCTCTTCTTTCTCCAAATGCTGAGAATGGAACTTCTTATTACATGCAAGTGACTGAGCTGAAATGTGCTTTTTGAAAGGAGAAGGTTTGTGAGAAAGTTCTATGTTAAGTTATAGAAGCTACTTATTGATAAGTTCTAAACAGGGTCTAAGTGGTTACTCAATAGTTTCTGTGTTTTTCTCTTGACTCCTTAATTCATGTGCATTTTTGATACAGTCATCTTCAGTGATGTTTGAAAAACACCCTTTATTCAGCGCCTTCTGAGGACAATTAATATGTAGCCTTTGAAAGTAGCCTTGCTATTGTCTATTGCATCAAATATCTGTATCAATCTTATGCCCAATATTCATTTTTTAATATAAAATTACTTCTTGACTGCTTGCTCTTATCCTCCCAGTAAACAAAAATCAATCTGTAGCTACAATGACATCCGGAAGGAAACGCCTGACCATAGTCATAGCTGAGATTTAGCTGTTCAATCACGTGTCCAAAATCAATAAACAAAACGCTTTCGTGTATGTATAGACTATGTTTTCCTTAAGAACATACTTAAATTGAATAAAGTATTCAGAAGTTTACGAAAAAATCAGTTTAGTTCAACAATCAATAGTATAGACAAGTGAAATGAGATATAATGAAAAAGCTGAATAATTCACCATGAATCAATAACAATAAAAATGATCTGCCCTATAAGGTAGGCATAAATAAGACACAACTTGTGATATGTTTGTCAATTTAACAGAAATTAAATGTTTGTTGATTGTAAATTACGAAAAACAGTCCATAAATGAGATTAGAGTTCAAATGACAATCGTATAGACAAAAAAAGACATTTAGCAAATAACAAGAAATAGATTGACTTATCGATAAGGTAAATTTCTAACGATATGATTAAAAGATATCGCATAATGAAATAGTACTACTTACTGGATAATATTTTAGGCACAACTTGGTGCCAGCAGTCATATCACACTAATATATGCGTCAATTACTATTACATGGAAGCTGTGAAACCCCAAGACATTATCATAAAAGTTTGTCAAAAATTAAAATAAACATCTGTACTAACCCCAAAATCAGGTTCACCCTCCCAGAGTGGTATTGTGATTGAGTAGTGCAGGATAAGAGTCCAGATTAAACCCAAAATTAGTTTGCTACGACAGTCAACAATATCTGAGCTGTCTACAAAAAACAAAAGGCATGAATACCATGTTTAAAAAAATGAAATAAAAACAATGTACTATAATTTCCAAGTAATTAGAGACAATTAGCAAGAAGCTCTGGAACTGTGTTTCGCGACTATAGGCACTTATCAGTTACAAGTATTCGGTAGGGAAACTTATTTGATGCTATTGCTTGTATTATCCCATCCTTGAGTGAACTGAATTGATCAGTCTCTATTGGTATATTGGGGTCCTGCTTTGACACCTTGATATCGCCTGTGTTTGAATTATATATTGATGATGGATAGCGGCTAGCAGCGGAATCCAGGAGGTGAGGTTAGTCTTATATAGGGCTCGTCAGGTGGATATAACTGCCTCCCAGGAACAACATTAAAACTATACCCGTCACATGAGAAGTGGGTATTATGGCTCTACGGTCTAATGGATAACCCCCTGGCCTTCGAACTGGTCTGCCCTGAGTTCGAGTCCCAGGGGGAACAACAGCATTCACTGGTAGGCAGGTGCATCCAACCGATGAGTCCCGAATAGGACGAAACGTGCGCCTTGGATTCCACTGCTAGCCACTACCCATTGTTAATAAACTTACACATTGCTTCAGTAGCTTTGTGTTTGACCGAGATGCCGTTGTTCCTGATTACATTTCACCGCTTACTAGTTTAGACTGTTTGCAAGGCTAAAGTTTCTTTGTGAGATTATTACTTTTCTTATCTGGAAACAAGAAGGATACAACTGAATAAGAAAAGAGACTTACTAATGAAGACTCTGGCTGCAGATTTTAGCCACGAAGGGCTATCTCAGATATTCAAGTATTAATATTAGCTGGTTATTAAACGTCATTACGTTTCGTAGCTCATATCAATGCACGTGGATAACTACCGACATGAATTCTATTCTGAAAATATAGAAACCTTGGACATAGTAAACACAGAGAATATCAGAGAATTCCTGGAAGCATGACATTCAAGTCCGTCAACAGTCAATGCATATATAGACATAGTCATAGACAACAGAAAGGTCTGACATCAAGCAGGGAAACAAGTAACAGGAAAATCTATCCATTCAATGACACAACAATCAAAGGAAACAACCAATCATAAATCACTTCGTCAGAGCAAACTATTAAGTCACTCCCAGAAAGATTTTGACAGCTCACTCGATACACAAGTTAGTGTTGATGATGTTGTGTAGAAAGGCACTGAAAACTTTATGATTAAACCATCCATCTCAATGAACGCAGCATAACCAAGAAGTGTAAAATACGTGGTCTAGGGCCATTGGCTAAGTGACCCAAAATGGATGGTAGTGGAGCATTTGTACTGATTCTCTTTTATAATCACAGTTCTAAACACCATACTGCCCTTCATTAGATACTCAGTCTTCTTTTTGTCCACCTTTTTAAAAAAAATGTAAATGAAGCACACGTTTCTGCGCTATTTTGATGCATTCAACTTGAATCATTATATTGCTGTGACAGTAGTGTGCTGAGTTGTTCGTCTGATCAAGTAACAAGTTATAGAATAATGATAAAAGTCACCGAAAAGTTTTTCGACAGATAACAAAAATGCAAATTTGGACAGTAGTGGGATTCGAAGCAGCTACCACCGGGTTTGCATCCCGGTTCTCTACCAGCTGAAATAGGAGGCCTGACTGCTAACCAAATTTTTATTTAACTTCAAACACCAAGGGTTTTGTTGGACTGTTATGTAAATTCATGACACTTTACTACCGCTTGATAGTACTAGTATTTATATCCAGTATAAATGCCAGTCTGCCAAATCACGGCCATCTCAGATAGTCAAAATGATAGTCAATATGATGCTCTCACTCTCTGATTCAGTTAGCTTTGGACTGGAGTGAGAAGTCTTGACTAGCCAGCCAGTGTGATTATGATCAAGCGGTAGTAACGTGTCACAAAACTCACATGAAAGTCGGCAAAGGCCTTGATGACTGCAGTGAAATAAAAATCTTGTCAGGAGTCAGATCTCGTAGCTCAGTTGGTAGAGCATCGGGCCACTAACCCGATGGTGGCTGGTTCGAATATAACTGCCGTCAAGATTTTCATTCCACCTTCAATCATCACCCAGCTTAAATAACAAAAAATTGAACATCGAAAGGAATGAAATCAGCACAAATGTTTATTTAGTAACCGTATGAAAGTTCCAAAAAATATCACTGACATCGGATTATATGGGTGCATATTCGTATGATTGTTGCAATTTCGTTTTATTTGTTGATAAAGTTGAACATCGGGTTGCAAAATAAATACTTTTTTTTAGTTAAAAGTTAAATATTTTGGCAAAAAATATGGTAAAAACAACCACATCTAGACAATGGAATGCACTTTCAACCAATCATTCAGTAATTCATTATGGTAAAGGCAAGGTGACTGTGAGAAACTCAAGTATCCAAGCTTAAATTGGTATGGATTAGGAAAAATATTCCCTTACTTGTATAACTATTTTGGCTTCGTGGAACGACAGTTTTTTGTGCTTTTGTACAATAGCGTTAGTTCACAGTCAAGTATGCAGATCAGTAGACAAACATAGTCACGCTACATTTTTAAATATTAGGCGTTAAACAGCCTATCGAATAGTGGAGAGAATGTGTGATAAATCATGGCTATCTTTTCTGTAAAAGCAACTAATCAGATAATCTAGTTTTATAACTTGCTGTGAAGGCTCAGAAAACTTCTATGTCCTCTGTTTAGCTGTTGTATATTTTCCCGTAAAGTGTTTGTTTACGAAATATTGGAAATGATAAAATTACTTATCAATGAGATTACCTGAGGTAGCCATGGTTGGGAGGACTGGTATTATGGATATCACGGTTATCTCAGATAGTCTCATTGATAATCAATTTGAGGTTAACCCTCTCTACGAAGGAAAGATGAACAATTATGCATCATACACTCATATGACAGACGGACATAACGCTTGGTCACTGAAGTTAGACGAAGTCCTGTGTACCAATTGGATCTCGTGATTCAGCTGATCGAGCATCAAGCCAGTAATCTGGAAGCCATCGGCTTGAATCCTGCTGTGGCCTACGCTTTTATTTAACTTTCAGTCATCAGTTCATATCGACGAATTTATTGAAAACCTATGCGTCTGATGAATTCAGCCAATGCAAATTCTAAAAAGTTATTCAAGTCATCCCCTTGAATGTCTGGTCGCAATTGTAACTTCTCTGTAAAAGGATGATTTTAGGAGCTATTATGAAAAGTTCTCTTTTATATTCTTACGGCAATAATACATATTCACCAGTGGCGTATATTGATGCAATGCATTGCAGTCACTTCTATGTTGATCAGAACAAGCTACTATTTACGGACCTTAGTGATACAACAAATAATTAGAAACGGAGAAAAGATGGTTTTTAAATGTTTAGAATAAATTACCTATATTCACCAATCGTAAGCCTTCGTTTTCTTCCAAAAATCTGAGAACCATTGTAACATTTTCTAATTTTTGAGTACGAAAACTTGGTTTTCTATTTACATGTTTAAACTGTTGTCCAGATAATGATTCAACCAGTGCAATTAAACGTAGACCATCAGCAAAATCAAACTGAATATCATCTACATTGACATTTTTAGGTTTCAAATGTTCATTTGCCCATCTTGTAAATGTATTTTTCTGGATAACTTTCCATTCAGCATCTTCTGCCAACTCTCGTTCAGCCAATGGGATCTCTTCTTCATCTTCATCCACATAGCCAGCATCTGCATCTGGATAGTCCATTTTCTTTAGAATCGATGCTAAGATAAAGGAAGAAAAATTTTGAATGCACTTCAGTAAACAGACCGCATGAAGTATAATTTAATCCCAGACTCTATTATTTTTATTGGCCTGTTTTGTACACTAAAGTTCATGGTTCCTATTAGTAAGCAGTCAAACTTCCTACGCTCTTCTTTTCTATAGGCGACTTCCACGGAAAAAACTGTATTTATCTCATGCATTCGAGAACCCTTGAGTCCTAGTATGAAACAAGTACTCAGAACTTAAAGTGTTCACCTAAAACTGTATATTATACACCGTTTGATCTTTAGAAAGTAAAGGTTATGAAGGAAACTTTAGGCTTTTTGCCGTTTGAAGATCACTGCCAATATTCAGCATGTTGCTTTGTGAGCCTTTTGTAGCGTAACTGACGTTCATAATCATTATTTCGTTTAAACAATGTAAAATGAGTAATTTCGAGAGTAAGTTTAATCAGTCCCTTTATTGTATTGTTGCTTGTATTGCACCGTCGTTGATTGGACCGAAGTGATCAGTCTCTGTTGGCCTTTGGGCTTCTGTGAAGATGCCTCGATATTACCTGTGTTCTTAACTATATATTATTGATGGATAGTGGCTAGCAGGGGAATCCAGGATGAGTATTTCGTCCTATTTGGGACTCGTCAGCTGGATGTATCTGCTTCCCAGTGAATGATGTTTTTCCTACAGGGATTCTGACTCGGGAGCGATCGCTTCAAACACCAGAGCGTTATCCACTACACCACTGAGCCACGATAGCCACTTCTTGTGCGACGGGTATAGATATAGTAATTTTTGCTTGTCTTATACCGTCATTGATTGGACCGAATATATCAGTCTGTGTTGGCCCTTGGGCTCCTGTGCCGATGCCTCGATATTGCCTGTGTTGTTAATTATGTAGTAATGATGGGTACCCGTCACACAAGAAGTGGCTATCGTGGCTCAGTGGTGTAGTGGATAACGCTCTGGTGTTTGAAGCGGTCGCTCCCGAGTCAGAATCCCTGTGGGAAAAACATCACTCACTGGGAAGCAGATACATCCAGCTGACGAGTCCCAAATAGGACGAAATACTCATCCTGGATTCCCTTGCTAGCCACTATCCATCATGAATACATAGTCCCTTTGTTTATTGCAATATGTAGAGGGAAAAAACTTATGTGTCAACATGTCAGATACCGGCAGTGTTTGAACATATCTATTAGACAACAAACCATAAGAAATAATCAACTTAGTGTACTTTAGCCAGGTGTCAGAAAATCGCATTGTAAATTCTTCTCAGTAAATTTTCCAAATTTCCTTCTTTCCGTTTCACCTCTGTTTGACTTCAGAATGTCACCTGAAATCTTAAGAATTCTTTTCAGAGTAATTCCACTTTCAAATGTACAGTGAGGTACGATAACACTTTCAGTTTATTATGTCAGGTCTAAAGACGAAGGCTGAGTAACACAACAAAAGACTAACTTTTCAGTATCCAGTAAAGTGCAGCATTTAAGGAGGCAGACAATTAACTGAACATATTTCAGATGACCCCAGTCTTTTCATTAAGTAATTTTAATTTGTTTCATAACGAAGCTTAAGTGAACTGTTCATCTAGTGGTGTTCATCATTTTTCGGTATTAAACATATCCCTAAGGAATACGAAAACCAGCATCAGCGCTCTTCAAAATTGGTTGAGTTCTTGCGAAGGACCACTCAACTATACTAACTCTACCTTCAGTTTGTTCCAGATTATCGCCTCAAAACTCAAACATTTCTGTTTCACAAAGTAATCGCAGAAAATACTATACGTGCTTTGAATTTGTAATCTAGGAACAAAAACCATTTTATGGATATTAGTGTACATAATATCGAAATTAGCTTAGTAAATAACTATTCAGTAACAAGATAGGCATTTCAAAACCTCTCATAACTATTTATTGAAATTCCAATGACATCCAGAATACAAGTTATTTTAATGATGATCACAGAAAACTGTAAACAGTTGCCTTTATCTTTTTATTTGCATGAGTAAGAGTTATCACATGAAATCAGTAATCTACTGTTCGATATTCGTTAAGAACCGATACTTTTAAAACCATAAGTCAGAAGTAATAGTTTACACTGCGCAATGTCTTGTTGGTTGGTTGGCTGGCTGATTGAATCTACGTTTTTCTGCCCCTGGAGTTCACTTCATTACTACGAACGACTCAAAGAGGTATATAGCGTTTAGTTTCCATTCTTCCAGCTAGTAATATTACTATAATCACACACATTACTGTAACTGTTGGTATCCATTGCTTTAATTTTCTCACAAATTGTAGTTTCAGAATTAATGGGTTGAAGAAAGGTCAGTCACTGCACTGAATTGCTTGTTTCTGACACCATGATGAGTATTATGAAATTATCTGGTACTTGTAATCAAAAAGGTTAGTAAGGAGGTCTCAGATTGTAATGTCGATCTGTTCATTCTTCAGCTGCGTTCATATGGCTACTGAAAACAATGACAACCTTGAAGTGAGTCTGAGGAGGACAGTTAAACTGTGATAGTTTCGATGTCCATAAATAAAACTAAATCTTGAATAAATTAAGCGTAACATGCAATTCTCAAAAGATTTTGTTGAACAGTGCTAACTAGTTTCACAATTCAAGTTTTGTCAGCATCCCACATGACGCTTTTAAAGCTTTTTATGTAAAATAACCATTGGCTTATCTGACCAGTATATATAGAGTCTTATACAGGAGTTATGAGTAAGCTTTGCGTGGGAGGTGGATGGATCTGAAATCGAAAGTTGAGCAGTTTGATGTGAAGTGAATAGTTTTGGTTGGCAAACAGCAACTATAATAAGGTTCACTCTAATACAGTCCATATATGATAAATTCTAAATCCTTAGTTTCGTGTATATACAGTGGATCATATTATCACCAGTTGAAAGCGCGCACTTACAGTTAGAGCAGGTCAGTCTGAAATCAGACAGTTTCAAATTAAGGTTAGTCTTCATACTAACAACCATCAAGATATGTATCGGTTACCTAGAGCAGCGATTTATTTTGCTCATTAAGGTGTGTAATGATCGTATGATCACACATTTCTTTGAACATATACCGGAAAAACATTTTGTTGAGCTATAAAATTCTCTTCATCGCTACTTTGTAGCTGCTCAATCAGCTGATTAATGAAAGCAGAATGTTTCTCAAATCTATGTACATGTGAATAGAATTTGCCCAATATATAAACTAACCTTGCGTGACACTGAACTGTGTACCGTCCCATGTACTTTTAAGCATTCTCTTTAAATATTCATACTTAATATGATAAAATTATCAGACTTTGTAAGAACTAACTACAATAAACTCATTTATCGATGTTGATGTTTAGTATTCTTCAAATCTGGTGCTTAGGATAATGAGTTCAAGCGATTTTGCACGAATTTTGTTCATCTTTTTTCACGAAGAATGTTTCATTTAAGTTGTCCATAAGTAACAATGGATTTGGTTAACACTTTCAGGGAACGTAATATGAAGTGATATTTTTTTACTAAAGCCTTTAGCTCCGTCAAACTAAATTAACCAATTACAGATAAAAGCAAAGTCATTTGGTTACAAAATGATTTGCTTGAATTTCGGTCAACCAACTCGACCCGATTCATCGATGAAGTATGAGAAATAACAAACAACAACTGATATCCTTTTCACAACAGGTGGATTTCATGCGATGGGTATTGGGTTTGAGTGTCAGTGAGAACAAAATCACCCACTAAACTGTAAGTACATTCAGGTGACTAGTCCTAGTTGGAACGAAACATGCATCCTGGATTCAACTACAACCCACCAAGCAGACAACAACATAACAAGTAGACAAACAGCATCATAAAGTCCGTACAGGAGCTCATCTGTCAACACAGGTCGACCAATTAGACCCAGTATAACAACGCGAGATTACAAGTATCAAATAATAACATTGAACTCTGACAACTCTAACTCGTTCACTTCAAAGTGGTATTGTATTCATTATAAAAATGAAAACAGTGATCACAGTCAACCCAGTGAAAATACTTCTATCCTTTTAATACAAGCATGCAGTTCTGTTTGATAATCATTATGACACTTTCCTGTACATCTTTTCAAGTCATTTATTATATTCAATAACTTCTATACTGGGTGTAATTAAGCACTATGTATTATGACATAATGATAATGGTCACTTTATTCTAAACAATATGAATGATGCAGTATGGAATTTTCACCAAGTAACTTCTCAACAAAGTCACTCCCAGAACAATATTTTCACACAAAATAGTCATTACATCTGAATGAGATTAATAAAAACAGAATTCAAGGCAATATTGTGAAACAGTCAGTTGGCTAGAGATTAGCCTCTGTTCCATAAGAAAGTATCAACAGAAATGCGAGCAAAAGTTGATAGTGATGATTCATTCAGCCAGTACAAGAATTCGCAATTCAAGCTTAGTATCAGAGGGATAGAAATATGATGTAGTTTTGTGCATTGGATAGTCCACTTCCAAATAAAGTGACATTCTTTCTTTGTTTTGTTATTAATTCGAGAAATGGTGAGTTGAAAGCGTTTTAAAAACGTGCAAGAGTAAATGATACATTCAGAGGATAAATTTAAATAATGAAAACACACGTTCGGTAGAAAATTTTTGTAGCTCATGTTTCAAGCAGGCCGCCGTTTATCAAGTAAATTTGAATCCTAAGCAAATAAGAGACTGCTTCTTCGTAATATATTAAAAGATTTTGCGGTGCAATTGCTCGACAACCATTAAATGCATTCTATTCCATGAGTAAAAGTCCTGATCGAAGACTATGTGGTTTATTCATGGACTTGCACAGCATTTAGTATAGTTTGGAGGTAATGGGACTTATTTAATTAGTTAAAAGCACTATGACTATGTGTTATGTATAGTGCAGAAATATGACAAAATGTATCAAGAAGAGACAGTCCTCTCCTGATACAAAGCTGATTGAAGTCAATGGCTGGTATGTGCTAAATAATGCAAAGATTAGTTGCTTAAGATCCACTGCTAACTAGCAGTGAGCTGAGGAGTCCCATACTAGGACGAAACACTTGTCCAGTGCTCCCAGACTTTCAATGGTTCTCCAACTGATGTCAGTCTGTGATGAATACTGCCTTAATAATATATATATATATATTTACATATATATATATATATATATATATATATATGGGCTTTTTCTGCTGACTTTGAAGCTAGTATCTACATAATTATTTACCATTCAGTTTACATCTGTAGCGAAAAAGCAGTGGATACCATTGTGTTGTACAGTTAGATGAAGACTGGACAACGTCAATCAAAAAAAAGTATTTGAATCTTGATTTGTGTGTTTTCAAAATCCAAAACATAAACTATCATTCAACTTTCAATGTCGTGCGGTACAAGTATTTATTAGTTAATCTGTTAGGAATTAGACTTATCTCGCATTCAATGTAACGTACTAACGCTAGTAAATCATGTTAAACTCAAGCAACAAGTGGTGACAGTATTTGAATAGATTACTTTGCAATGGTTACTGCACATTTTTTTTAAAATGTAATCCATCTTATAATAATTATGACACCTTATAACGCCATATAGCATTCATAACGTACAAATCATTTATACAAGTAATACTAAAAGACCCGTTCAGAACTGAGAACAATAGAAGTTAAAGAAAGAGACACAACAAGATCCTTTTAAAGCATTTACATCTGCTTTCAGCTTCACTAGTTAATCACATAAAACTTCACTCACCTGACAAATTGATATCTTATGCGTTCAAATTAGTTTTCCTTAGACTGACTTCTTATTTCACAATTAGATTACAATATATATGTGATCAAAAAAGCTACTATTTTTTCTCCGTTGAATGTAAGAAAGATATGTATCGATTCAGAATGCTTCAAACCGGTGGAGTTAGTTGTCGTTTGTTGTTCACTTTCACAGTTAGAAAAAAATAAAAGTAGAATAGTTCGCACAATCGAAAATGTGAAATCTGACTGTATTTGTGCAGTAGAATGAATGAATGTCGTCTTCTGTATTCTACTTCTTAATAAACTGAATTCTGTTGAAGAGGAGAAGAAAAATTAATCGATTCCAAGTTAGGTATGCACGTGGACAGTCCAAACTGGGCTATCTTGCCTCAATATTTACAAATGATATACACGCATAACCAATCTAATGTTTCCGCGGCCTGACCTCTTCTTACACTTGTGGACAGTGAGTGTCCGTATCTTTTTGTAGATACGTGTCAGAAAGTGTCTGGGTGTGTTTGTGTGTGGTGCCCTTACATATGCTGTATGCGTGTGTGTATGTGTGTGTGTGTGTGTGTAATCTGCACAGTGAAAAGCAGATTGGGTAGAATGCGAATCGCCTGTATCGATTTTATAAATCGTTATATTTCTTGTTCAAATTATTCCTGGAACAGTAACAACTGTTTTTTTAAATTACTGGCTTTTGCATTCCCTGATATGATTGTGCCAATAATTTCTCTTCAAAAATATTTTTCTTTCATTCACTGATATGAAAAACAATAAATCTTCACTGTGAATTTCCAATCAATTAATTTTCAACAGTAATATAATTTCATTGGGATGAAAACTTCCTTCTTCTCTTCATTGACTATGCAGTGATCTTCCGTACTGACTTATTTCTGAACATCAGTTTGAGTTGATTGAAGGGAGAACAAGGAAAGAGAGTAGTCGTAAATGTTACACTTGGCTTGGTGGCTTATAATGGAATCTACGATGCGCATTTCGTCATATTCTGAACTTTCAAGTTGAACATACCACTGAAACTTGAACCCAGTACCCACCACTTCAAAAGACAAAGTGTTATCCCCCAGGCCACTGGAGTATGAGAGCCACCCCTTGTACAAGCGGTATTAGATGCTGTTCGTTGATGTCATTTATATCATTGATATCCAGCTAACCACTTGATCAAGTAGGACGAAGCGCGCGTCCTAGATTCCACTGATGGCTGCCAAACAGACTACCGCGTAACGAATATTCGGGGACTATTCAGGGTTCAGTATGAAAGCCCATTTACCAACAGAGGTCAACCGTTTGAAATTGGTATGGCAGCGGGGAATTACAAGTATTAATGAACAAGAAATTGTACACCTGAACATCTAGTCCAAGACGAACATTGATTTTAGTTGGATGGAGGTAATTAAAAGGAAGCTTTGGACCTGGGTTTTGTACTTTTTAAGATTCGTCTGTAAGGCGTGTCTGTAGCCTCTATGGAACTGATGTCCCGTCTGAGGTCCAGTGGTAACGTCTGTGACTGGAGCACGGGTTAGGCCGGTTCAAATCTCAGGCGGGACATCAGTTCCGCAGAGGTTGCAGACACGCCTTGCTGATGAGTACCTAAAAGCACGAAACCTAGGCTTCCTGCTGATTGTCTCCACCCAACTAACACCTATCAAAACGCATCGCAGTGTTGAGTCGACTAGTCTGATGGTCACACTGCAAAAGAATTCAATCAGCAGTTAGGACTAGACAAAATGAAGTTGGTTACCCTCCAATGACCAATCAATGTGAACACTGAGTTAATATAAATAAATTTTTTAAGCTTACTTTGCGTAGTAAGTTCAAACCTACTATTGCCATAAGAGCCTATCTTCTATATGTGACATGAAACTTCTAAATTCGCCATAGTAAGTGAAATCTGAATGTTCAAAATGAATTCCTGGAGCTTCTTCCTTTTACTCGGCCATGAACAGATCGTGAAAAAGTATGTTAGCTATACCATAATTTTTCCTACTAACAACGAAAAAAGTCTCGTTCATATTGCACTACTACTACTACTACTACTTATTTTGCGTGTTAGCAGCTGGTTATTTAATACTTTAACAGTGGAATTTTTTGATCGGTTGTTAAAACGATCTTATTTTTCAGCGTAAAGCCAATAATAGACGGTTATTTGGTGACAAAAATGGGATGTTTTCTAAACAGTATCATTGAGAATTACTGTCAGTCACTGTCTCGTCTTCCTTATTTTACTTATAAAAATTAATCATGATTGGATTATCAATAGCAGTCCATCTTGATATGTATTTCTGCAGCTCAGACGGCATTCTAATTTATAAACTACTGAACTATATGAAGCGTTATCTACCACTCGCACTGATATGTAGTTTTTGCCAGCTAGATCAAAGTATTCTGAACATTGGGTCACATATTATTTTTATAATTATTATTTGTTCCTTGGGTTCCTAGTGGAACATAGGGCTACAGTTTCAAGTCACCACTTCGCTCTTTTCTCTGTAGTCTTCTTAACCTGGCTCCACTACTCAGCACAAACTTTCATTTCTTCTTCACATGATCTCCTCCATCTCACCCTCGCCTCCACGCCCAACCGGTTGCTTCCTCTTCGGATTTCACTTGAGTGCCTGGCGCCTGGTGTCCCGAATCGAACTTCTCAGTGTATGCCCAACCCAATCCATCTCCACTTCCTTCTGCATATTTGTTGGGTGATAGGTTCTTGGTTGGTTTGTCACTAGGCCAGAGTTCCTTGTTGCTTATTCTTATTATTCTAGCCATCTGATCTTCAGTATCGAGCCAGCGTAGGCTGCAGCTGTTAATGAATGTCTGTAGTTTGTTGGAAGTGCTTTTCGTGACACACTAAGTTTCTGAACCATATACAAGCACTGAGTTGACTAACATTGGTGTTGAAAATCTGGATCTGGTTCCTGTCTAATGCTGAATGCAGTGCAGTGCAGTAAATTTCCACACTGATTTTAACTTAATGAAAGCCTGTCTTGCTTTTCCGATCCTGGTTTTGATATCCTCGTCTGTGCCGCCTGTAGTTGGAACGATGCAGCCCTACCTAGGTAGGTGAAAGAGATTACTTCCTCTAGATTTCTCTCGTTCATGGTGATTGGTGCTTGTCGTTGATGCTGTTGTTGGCTGGGTATCTTCATCACCTCTGTCTTCACTACGCTCACTTGAATGAAGTCCCGTCTTCCTTCGTTGCCCTGACTCTTCCGTCAACTTGTTGATATTTGCTTGTAGATCTTCGAGTTTGTGCGACAAAACATTAGACATAAATCATCATCGTTGGCGAGATCCAAATCTTCTCCTGGGGTCTTTTCATCAGTCAAATAGCGTATGCCCTTCTTTTCGCTCCTCACAGTTGTCTGTTGCATGATCTAGTCGACCACAAACAGGAAGGCGATCAGTGATAGTAGGGAGAATCGTCTTACTGTTGTCTTCATTTCAAAGGCGTCACTGAGTTTTCCATTGTGATTCACTTGGCATATAGCATTATATAGCTTAGTATATGGGTGTTGAACGAGGTTGATAAAGGTTTGTGGGACTAAAACCGTAGTGTCGAAGCAACAACTGGCAAATTAGATTGTAGGTCGACTGTGTGGAAGTCGTTTTCAGAGTGGATGAATTTGAGGTGGGGAGTTGACTGGCGTTCTATACTCTGTCCTATGATGATGCATAGTGTGGCGTTGCAGTTTGATTGGCACATGAATTGTTGTTCCCGAATGTAGGCAGTTAACCAGCCTGTTCCGGTGTATTTGTGAATGGAGAGCATCTTTTACTCTCTCCAGGATGATGCAGTTTAATATTTTGCCTGTGGTGGACAGTGACTGCAGCATGATTCCTCGCCAGTTCTTGCAAATGCTTATGTCTCCCTTCTTCGGAAGTCTGATCAGATAGCCTATCTTCCAATCGACCATGAGGTACCTTTCCTTCCTTCCTTGCTAACCTTCTGTAGTAGTGGTGTGAGCATGTTCGCTGTTGTCCCTTAGTGTGTTTTCAGTGCTTCTGGTGAAATTTCATTAGCTCATTCTGCTTCCCCGAATTTCAGTAGTTTTATGGCACTCTAGAATTCTGCTTCTGTCGCAGGGCTTGTGTTCACTGGTAATTCTGCCGTTGCTGGTGGTATTTGTGAACGAGTTGCGGGTGGTGTTGGTGGTGGTGGTAGTAGTCGATTCAAGAGGTTTCTGAAGTGGTCACTCCATCGGTTCCATTGCCTCTCCTCTTTGGCAACCAGCTTTCCTTCAGTAACTTTGATTGGTTTCGTCTGTGTTGATCTTTTCCCTTCCAGATTATAACCTGGTTATTTGATATAATGTTGTCAGGTCTCTACTCCTCCCACCTGCATCCTGTTCTGCTTCACTTGCAAGTGTGCCGTAGAAGTGTCTTTTGTCTTTGCGCTCACTCTTCTTCATTTCTTTGTCCAGTGTTTGATAGTTTGTGCTCAGTTCCTCTTTTCGTTGTGCATTCCTACACCACACTGGTTTATCTTCTGCTTCACCATCCTCTTCTCCCTGCTCTATCAGTTTCCATGTGTTCGTCGAGATCCATTCCTTGTCTTGCCTCTTATTCTTCCTTCCTAACACGGTTATGCAGGTTTCATTCCACATCTCTTTCAAAGAGTTCCAGTGTTCTTTCACGCCCGATGCTTCACGGATGCTGCTAAATGTTTTCCATTTTGTTCTGATGGCTGACCATGTGAAGATGTCTTTTGTAGTTTCGTCCTGTTTTAGGTGTTGAACTTGAACTGTGGTCTATCACCAACTTCCTTGAATTGAAGGCTTTCAACTTGATTTGGGAGGTTCCTTGCACAATATAGTGAGTGGTGTGAATCTGCATTTGCTCCTTTTTCTTGATCTGACCTTGTGTCCAGTAGGCTGCGTCTCCCTTTCTTCAAATTCAGATGAAGTCGATCTGACTTTTAGTGTGTCCCCGTGTCCAGTGAAATCAAATGCATGTCGCTGCCTTGAGAATATGCTCGTGTTTGTACAGACTGCATGCAATCACCAAATTGTTGAATGCGCAGAAATCTGCAAACAGTTCTGCGTTCTCATTCATTTCATCGAGTGCTTCTCGAGCGATGATAAGTCCTCTTCTTGTGTTTATGTCACCCACCCATTAAAATTTTGATGTCGCCAACTGGAGTGTGGTCTTGTCCAGTAGTGATTGCAGTTGTCTGTAGAATTCCTCCTTCTTCTCTTCATCTGCATGATTTGTTGGCGCGTATCATTGTACGATTGTGACTTTCCTCCCTTTTGAGTTGTATCTTGCTGTCATGATCCTGGAGGAGATTGGTTCTCACTGCATGAGAGCCTCCGATGTTCTTGAATACATGACGATAGCCACTCCAAAACTCAGTGTGTTCGTTGTTGTCGTCTGGGTGACAATATCGGAGTAGATTATTGACTCTCCAGGCAACAGTT